TGAATCAGAAGTATGATACCGGTTCTGTGCGTCTTCACGAATCCCACGATGAACTGGAGAAGGTGATCATACGTAAGATCCAGCTGGATCATAAGGCCCTGAAGATGCATAACGTGAATCCTCATATGTGGCAATCATCGGGATTCGGGACTCAGCGAAAAAGAAAACGTTTTCGCGGCTTCTCTTGTAGTTGTATCGTTTTGTGTCGCGCTACTGGTAGGTTCCAAAGCAGACGCATCGACTTCTTCATCGCGATGACCACGAGCATCGTCTCCACCGCGATCAGGCCCTCGGCCACTTTCGGTAACATCGCCGTTTCTCTCTGAGTCGTCTCCATCATCCACGTTACCTTCATGGTCTCCGTTATTCTCAATCGCACGCTGAATGGTACGTGTTTGCGTACGTAGGCTGGACAATCTGGGTTTCCGCTCCACTTTAAGCAATTTAGCAGCGCCTGGTACTTCTTTTTAATTGAGCCGACATCACGTAGCGACCGGCCGTTCCGTTCAGCGTAGATCAGGTAGTTCTCTGTGGTGGAGCGAAGATTCTTGTTTGTGTAGAAAGCCGGGTTGCTGGGACAATCGGGCACCAGTTTAGTGGTACACTACTGGAAGTTTGTGTAGAAAGCCGGGTTGCTGGGACAATCGGGCACCAGTTTAGTGGTACACTACTGACATTTTGGGTTCAGCACCAGGATGACGATCAGGGTATAATCATTTCGGTACATGGCTCAATCCTTTCGGCATACACGGTGATGCTCGAGTGGTTCCACATTGGGAGTACCATTTACAGTGCTAAGTACGAAGATGGAGACAGTTTACAAACGGACGGCTGGGAGACGTTCAAGACTTAGGAGATGCAGTGAGATGGTTTAGGGAGTTGTGTGTTAGTGTTCATTTTCACCAGGAAGGAGACAAGAGAGTAGTTTAACACTCAACAACAGAGAGAGAGTTCTTATTTATCAAGGCTTAAGCACCCTACCAGTCTCCAGAGCTGGGAAGTATATTGGCCCCCTCTGACGATCCAGGATCGCCGCAGTCTACAAGGAAGAAGCGCAAGAACGCCTAGATAGCTTGCCCATGATCGTCCCGCTCTCTACTCACCTCTCGAGTTCACCGCCAGAAGAAAGCGGCCAAGCAACATATTGGAAACCTATTGGCATTTGGAAGCACACCCTTAGGACCCCCTAAGATCTACGCCGAACCTAGATCTACAACCCTAACGACTGCGAGTGAAGAGCTTCCATTAGCAGTCAAGCCGAAACCCAAGTGCCGTCCACCCCCCCTCATCCAGATCAAGCCCGCCATCTTCCCGAATCACCCAGAAGAGCGTAATCGTCCAACCCGGAGGGTACACAAGGTGAGCAAGTCATCAGAGTCCCACGGCAAGCGAAGTACCCCCTCCGTCAGTCGGGAGCCCGGACATCAAGTGAATGAGTGCCTTGCGTCGAGTTTCTTCGCGAGCCATCCCACCACAGCTCCAAAACAGCGTGCCCGGATCTTCTGGTGACTCCGGATATCACCGTGAGTCCACCCAGGTAGATACCAAGTTCAAAGATGAGCCAGGAATCGGCGCGTCGACGGAACGTGATTTGCCGTCGTTCCATCTAAAGAATAAAGGATACACCGAACGCCAGAGCGCTGGGAGGATCTCTGGCGAGGAAAAAGAGGCAGGTTCAGCGATGGACCGAGAAGAGATGCATCACCCTCCTTCCTTGGGCCAGTTGCGGCCCTCTGCGGATAGCGATCCGAATCGTGATCCGCCGGATCAGGATCCATCCTGAAAATTGGAAGAATCTTCACCCACAACCATTCCCCCTACAGCCCGCGTGCCCGTACAGAAGAAGGCGGCGTCGAAGCTTGGGAAGCCGGGGATGAGAGCACCCAACGCGGAGGAAAGTGGAGAAGGCAGAACTTGGACTCCGGATCAGCTGCAGAAGATCTTCTACAGGAAGCAGCTCAACGCTTTCTTTCTAAAGATCCCGTGATGATAATGATAAAGCCGAACCTGATCGGAGAACTCCAGGATCCTGTCAAATCCCTGCACCGAGCATCTGACCTCATGGTCGCGTTCACCAACCTGATGAACATGTTGGAGGAATACGGGATCGATGGCGGGGAAGTGGTGTTCGAGTTCAGCCTGACCATCATAGAGGATTCGTGGAAGCGCCTGTTCAAGCTGCTGAAGGCGCTGGTATGGGCGACGACGTCGCTGTCGAGCCTCGGTCCGACAAATAAATTCCCGGCCTCGGTCTCCTCACACTCAGGATTTGAGTCCGCGAAGGCATCAGCGTCTTCGGACATCGGGTCAGACAACTCGACCAAGCCCGTGAGGATGACTTGGTCCGTCTGGTGCAGCCATCTCGAAGCTAGAAAGATCAAGGAAGAGAAGCCGCTATATGACACCGTAGTAGCTTCCAGGGCAGCACGAAATCTCCACAGTCCGGATCGCATGCAGTCGCTCTTCAACACGGCCTTGGATCATTATCTGGGAGACAGTCTGAAAATAAGAAGAGCCGTGAACAGTCCAAAACACGAGAAGCGTCCGATGTCGACATGGAATCAATGGGATCATTCCATCCACCCCCGGATGAGTACGACCCTGACGACTTGAGCATTGACATTTGACGCCGAGCTGTCGTAGCTTCAGAAGAGACAGCTGGGGCATTTGGAAGAGCCGTTGTAATTCCTCGAGTCCGATTGTCGGCGATCTCCGAGCTGACGGAGTTCTCTGGCAGGGGCTCGGACGAAGATCGAGCTCATAGTTGGGTGGGTAAAGTGAAGTTCGCATTCATCAGCGACCACGCACCTGATAGCGAGAAGTGTATCGTCTTCGGGAACTTGCTCACCATCCCTGCGCGAAACTGGCACCAGTGGTTGGGAAGGGCAACCTGTGGCAGTTGGAAGGATCTCCTGGATGGATTCCGAGTCGAAAATTGTGGGCTGGGCGTTTACTGGCGAGACAGTACTATCACGCAAGAAAGAGATCCGATGAGTGGCCACTCGAATATCTCCATCGCCCCACAGGGTTGGGTATCCGAGCCAAGCTGTCGATCAAGACGGGAACGCCGGCCGCTCTCTGAGAACACATGGATCATTTTGTTGAGGCCTTGGATGACCGCGATCTCGCAGACCAGTTGCCCTGCTACACCTTGCCGATGGAGATGCATTGGCGGATGAATTGCGTACACGCCAGCGTGCGAAGTCCCGACAGGGAAAAACAGCCACAGGATCAACGAAGTATCATCAGAACGATCCGTTTGCGCCTCCGCAAGCCTCGTTCAAGACTCGAGCGTTGCGTGCCATCCGCATGGCGATCGACAACGGTCGTTCGGCGTCAAAATCGGACCCAGGAGGATCAGACCTGGATCATGGTCGATCTTAAGTATATCTTGCTGTCGTCGGAGACCAACGCAAGTATAAGGCTCATCCTAAGTCTCGCCACGTTCCTCACGCCACACCAAGCAACACTGATCAGCCCTTCTACCCTCGAAATGACGAACGTGTGTAGACGTGTTCACATTATGGGTCCACGAGGCACTATGATCTTGGGTGCTGGAAACGCTTGACCTCCCCGAAGTGCGGCATAAGGGGTCATTAGGGTGATCATTGTCTGTACATTTGCCGAGCGTGTGCCGAAGTCCACGAGGCTGGCGAATGCCCGATGGAAGAGTTTTTTCAACTTGAGCCGCTAGTGGTATGATCGCACGCGTTACGCTGGGATGTTCCTCTCGAAGGCGGAGAAGATGCTAAACTAGGACGCTCGCCAGTTTGGAATCTGGTACGAGCCGAGCGTTCTAAGTTCTGCATATATGCATACGTTGATACGCAAGCGAACTCGAAGGTCAGTTCTCCGAAAGATCGTATCAATAATACACGTGGAATTCATTAGAAACGTACCTTCACGATTGCGAGTCTCCGGAAAGACGAGTATACGCGATCGGATGTTGTGATGGAACTGGACGGCTGATGGGAAGACCCGTGGATACTGGAAAGTTCATGCCCCCGATACGAAACCCGGAACGCTCAAGGCCATGAACTCGATGACGAGGCCCACCGGAAATCGGATGGGACCACAGACCGAGTGAGTCGCGAGGATACTGGAAGTACTATTCGCCCGGTAAGTGGTTCAAGCAGGCAAAGATCACGGGAAAGATCAACAACTCGAAGGCCACAGTGCTCTTGGACTCTGGCGCAGTAGTCTCAATCGTGGGCACCACCTTTGCTCGTAAGGTTGGCTGAATCATAGACGAAACTCAGAGACAAGAATGTGTGGAATCCGAGAGAACATCTATACAATGTTGGGACGCACCACCATCAAGGTCACGTTGACCAGGTATCCGGTGTACTTCTTCGACGCTTGTGTTGGCGCCTTGGCTGGTCAGGATGCTATCTTGGGCATGGACTTCATGGTCTCAGTTGGGATTCGTCTTGACCTCGCAGACGGTACGATGTGTTTGGACAACAACGTCAGGATCCAGCTGTGAGGACGACGCCCGCCGTATCGCCGACGCAGGTACTCGCTGTATGACGATGTCGCGGTTCCCATTAGTGATTCTGTCGAAGTTCCCCTTAGACCACTACGCGCGTTAGAACGAGAGAAGTTATGGTTCTTGCGTGGAGAATATCTACCGTCGTGAAGGGGCTTGGACGCAGGCAGCACCGGCGGATCACGAACCTTGGAGTCACTGTGCAACTTGCCGTTCCGGCAGACCCTGCGCGCGATGCAGTCGTTCCTTGGCAGCTTAAATTTCTACAGCCGCTTCATCGAGGACTTCGCCGTGTACGCCGCGATTTTGTACGAGTTGTACAAGTCGGATTTCTTCTAATTATGCCGCCGAGTGAAGATCATGGATCATCCGGCACATACGGGGGACATCCGCCAAGCAGCAACGGAAGCAGATCGTTGGGCGAGGGCCACCGTCGCGTTCACCATGTTGAAGGCGAAGATAGTATAAACCCCGATCTTGAAGCACTTCGACCCTGATCGTCCACGAGTGATCGTTGTCTACGCGAACAAGTGGGTGATCTCCACCGCTCTGACGCAGGAGCGTAAAGGCGTGTTCTGGCCGGTAATCTTCACCAGTCGCAGCTTGAAGACAAACGAGCTCAATTACCAGATCGTCGAGAAGGAGGTGTTGACTTTGCTAAGAGTCTTGGACGTCTGCCACACCGTGCTGGTCTCCAGGTCGATCAAGGTGCTGTCGTGATACTGTACGTTGACCTGGCTGCTCAAATCCTCGGGACTGCAAGATCGCTTGGGTTCATGGCCCGCTCTCCTGTCACAATGGACGTTGGAGATCGTGAGGTGCACGAAAGACGAAGATGAAGTATTGGGAACGCTCACTGCGAGAATCACCCCACGAGAAGAGGTTGGCGAAACTCTAGTGGCACTCGCCCCGAAAAAGCGGCCCCGCCAAGTGAATGCCGCACCCACACCAACGGTCAAGCTGGCCGAAGAGCTGATCGTCGTGAGCTTCAATGGATCTGCGCGGGTGAAGCGTGGTGGAGAGACATACATTGCGATTGTCTGGAAGCTACCCGAATGGACGATCCTCACTGCGTCGTCGGTATACCCCACTGAGATGACCGTGAACGAAGCCGAATATCATGGGTTGTCCCTGTGCTTGGACCTCCTGGCGGAGCTTGACAGGGGGCGCCTGGCCATCTGCGGAGATTTCAACTTAATGATTCGTCAGATGCGCGGCGAGATTGCATGCAAGGCACCGGTTCTGCAGCTCCTGCGCAAGAAAACGATGCGGGGGACTCTCGTCGTGGAGGTATGCCAACAACGCGTATCGGTCCAGTGAGTCAACTTCCAAATCAACTCAAAAGCGCGGTCAGTCCACCAATAATGACTCCAACAACGGGTCAACGTGCACGATAAAAACGAGAAGTACAGGAAACTCGGAGAGCCCTAAAATGATGGAACATACAGTTATGAGAGAGCTGGATGACCAAACACGAGTACGCAAAGAGAGTGGTGCCGAGAAATTCCTCCAGATTCAACTCGACACAGTAAAGAAATCAGCAAACCTTCACCGTCAAAACAAAAAAGCTTCTAACAAAGTCCACCGTTTAAAAAACAAGTGCACCCGAGAGACAAGCTAGAAGTAGAACGCGAAATGAACAGAACCATTCAGCTCTCGTACACGCAACTCCACGCAGATATGATAGCCTTCTTGGCAATGCGCGAGGGCGTTGAAATGACGCTGATTTCAGTTTCGCGACCTGAGAACCTGGTAAACGATTATCAATTGAGTGGAATAATACATGGTGGTACTGTTAAATTCGGTAACTCCGATAGGAAACCACAAGTGACGTCAATTAATGAACCAATCTACAGTTAAGCGTTGACTTCGTCGTAAGCCTCATTAATGATACATTGGTTGACGCGGTAGTATCTCGCAATGCGGCCGTTGCTCTCAATGTCGCGAAATATCATCCGAGCAAAGTCTTCGTATATCATAGTGCTTGTTGGATCATCACCACGCCAAAGTTCTCGTAAATAGTACGAATCTGGTTGATGCCA